CCCAAGCGTCACGAAACAGCAGAGGGCTACAATTTCTTGCGCGCTGCCAACAGGAAGGAGAGTCCATTCAAGCGTTTCTCATTAGCGTACGTCGCATAGCGGACATTTATATGGCAGTGCATTAGAGCGAATGTTAAAAGATCGCCTTATTTTCGGCACACTTCAAGTAGCCTGCGCAAGCAGCTACTGACGAAAGAAGGGTTGACGATGCATGGAAGAGCATAGAGGGAAAGATACTATACAAAGAGTGGCCATTCGGGTCTTTTTGTGAATAGAAAAAGTGGTTAACGATTTAGAGTACTTAGTACTCTACTATGGGAGAGCTGAAAACCATCCCGTGGACCTCTTTACCGAGCGAGAAAAAGTCTTACAAACTGCTTTAGGTGGCGTACCCATGCTCACTTTTATTCCCTTTTTAACACATGTAATAGCCATCTCAGAAGGACATTAAAAACCAAAGATTGTCATCAAATTTATGCAAAGATGAAATTTTGTTGATTCGTGCAATTTTTCATATCCGCTCTACATCGTGTCCCGCGGAAGACGCTTATGGTTTGCCACAAAGATGCGCAAAGTGTGACTAGAAAGTGTTGTCTTTCTGTATTTGTTTTGCACAAAGGGGGCGAATTCATGATGTGTAAAACATCGTTGGCGCAAACTTGAAAGAAGACAAAAGAAGAGACTCGGGAAAAGCGCACACTCGCAACTGACTTTTATTGAACCGAAGCTCATCTTATGAAAACCCTCACGCATGCGTACAATCACATGAAAAGCCCAATCAACTATAATCACAATCTGTCAGATAGAAAAGCAAATTCATTATCATACAATGAGAGGGACGGACCACTGATACATTGTTTGCCAAAATGTCTAATACGCATCGCCTTTGACAATTCACGTGCCACTTTGTCTCTGCTTGTTAGCAAGATTATTAGCAAGATTTGCTTCTTAGCAAGATTAGCTTACGTTGCTGAGCGAATTCATGTGATTTAGATGCACTGTACATTTATTCACTTTGCGGAATCATGGGTGTGTAGCCTATAGTGGTAAAGACACTCACTTCGGAGCATGAGGGTACAGATTCAAATGCCAGCATCCGAAAAAAAAATTTTGTTATTTTATTTATGTTGAATACATTATCGGGTCTCACCAGCCGAGCACTCGTGGCGCTGAAAGCAGCGCAGTAGCTCGGCCGCAGGGCCCCTATGGGAGTGTCCACTCTTTACGTATTATTAGAGTGGGAGTGAGAATTTATTAGAAGGCAGAGAGGTCGGCCTGAGCTAGTTCGCTCTAGCCTGCTACTCTACACAGGGGATAAGGGAAAGGGGAAGGAAAGAGGGATGAAGGGTGATGATGGGGACAAGAAGAGGTGGTGCGTATGTACAGTAGCCACTTAGCATAGTACCCTACAGTCTAGTTTCTAGTCCAGTGCTTTTTATAAAGTCTAGAACAGCCTTTGTAGCAGTTTTTGACACTGTTTGGTCGTTCATTGCTGACAATGTGTGGCTTTCACTTAATGGTGTTCGTCCAATGCTTGCAAACGTTGCAGATAGCATTTTTCTTTGCGTCACGTATAATGCACAGTCACAAAATATGTGTGCTATCGTTTCGCGCACTTCGCAGCGTTCACAATTTGGGCTGTCCGCACAGCCGATCAGGTGGGTGTAGTGGCGAGTGAAGGCGACGCCCAGGCGAATTCGGTGCAGTATGTTAGCATGTATTCGGCTGATTTTATCTGGAAGACGAAAAGTCATACCGGGGTTTGTTTCCCGCAGGCGCTTGTACCGGTGATCTGGTAGCGACCAGTAAGTGGCAGCGCATTCGCGCATGATTGATCTCAACAATGTGTTGACGTCACCTCACGAGTAGGGTACTTTGACGTACATAGGAGCGTTGTATAAGTATATATACGTTTCTATGGGAAGAGGCCGTGATAGCCATTCCAGCGGAAGCAGCAGAAAGCGACGGTAAAGAGATGAGCATAGAATCATCGACAGGGCTCAAAGTGCAGGCCCGTCATCGGTCATTTCAGGACAACCATGACATGCACAAGCGCGTAGCTATAATGTGCGGAATATGTGCGGCAGCACGCGACATGATAACGCCTGGCGATGGGCTAAAGCACGCTGTTTTCGCTGCGGGAGGCGCGGGCCCGCGACTAGATTACGCCGATAGACACCGTCAACAGAAATGCAGTGAAGCAGGCACAGAGAGTTAAAGCAATGACAGCCATCCAAAACACTTCTAACGAAGACGATAGCAAAGAAAACAGCGCGGCACACATTTGGGCCGTAATCCATGAAAATAAAAACGGATCGGGACCACCGATATGACGCGTGCACGTTTCTTTGGGGAGACGTTGAGTTAACTACACATGGAAACAGAGAACCGTGGCCCCGCAGGCACCAGATAATCGCACGGCAGACGATGAAGCGAACGCTGCTGGACAGCCACCGACGGGCCTGATTGGTTCAGCTGAATAGCTGAACCACCTCGGCAGGCTCCCGACATCAAGGCGACCATGGAAACCACTGACCCTGCTCAGCCACTTCTGAGATCGAAACAAACTCTAAAGCAGATATAACGGTTCTACTGAAAAAAAAAAAAAGAAGGGATGTCTTGTTTTCTTCGTTTACTGCTGCGAGCCAACCAAGCCAGCTGTGCATGCGCACCTTCTAGCACCCTCTTTCCTTGACCCCAAGGTCGCGAGTTCGTTCCCGGTGCTCGCATTTCGGCGGAGTGGTTGAGGCTGTGCGATGGTTTAAGAACACCAGATGCTAAATTTTTCGAAGCCCTTCGCTACGGCGCCTCCCATATCATGTCATGCATTTGATATGTGGGGTTTAACGTCCCAAAACGACCATATGATTACGAGAGACGCCGTAGTGGAGGAAAATTTCGACCACCTGGGGTTCTTTAACATGCGCCCAAGTCTGAGCACACAGGCCTACAGCATTTTCGCCTCCATCGAAAATGCAGCCGCCGCAGCAGGGATTCGAGCCCGCGACCTGCGGGTCCGCAGCCGAGTACCTTATAGCCACTAGACCACCACGGCGGTGCCATGTCGTGGTTTTGAGACGTAAAACCTTGGGTAATACGAGTGTTAACCAATATTATTATTCCATTTGGTTTCCCTTGCCCGAACTCTGTCAGCCATTCATTATGCATACTGCAGCGGTGCTATCAATAAACGTTGTTCCAACACGGGCCTCAAGCATTTTTGTCTCCATCGGAAATGCGGCCGGCATTCGGTTCCGCAACCTTTCGGTCAGCCGTCGAGCACTTCAACCACCATGGCGGGTTTGACTATGATTAGACAACCGACTAGGTTCATTCTTCCGCATTTGTTGTTGGTTTGAATAGAGATGCAGTGCACCGGTCGTGGTTTATAAACGACCCCGTCTTCGTGTCATTCGTCTTGTCAATTTTCTGCGCCTCTTACCAAAAATGCAGGAGAAAGACCTATGGGAAAATGGAGAGAAGCTTGGCGCGGACTTTTTCTGTCGCATCGCTCAGTGCACCCTATTTGTCCCTTCCTCCGTCAAGCACGTGCTTAGCAGAGCAACAGTTCATTAGCTACAGGATACAGGCAACGCGAAATGACTAGTCTCCTCGATGAAATGTCAGAATGCCGTATCAGAAACGATTCATTGCCTACAAGAGTGGGCATCAATTCTTGGAAAATGTACACACGCAGGTGACCGGCGCACGTTCGATGATCAAGGCATGGATGTTAACCGATCTCGGAGGACCGGTAAGAAAGGGGTGGCGAAGTTTTAAAGATGAACAAAGAGAGAGAGAAGAGAGAACACGCACGCACAACGTCACACATCGAACTCGTCATAACACAGTAAGTTTGTAATCGTCAGTGCAAGTTCTGTTGCCTTCAAGATGTTGAGCACCACCTTTGTCGCCTTCACATGCGATGTCCTCTCAAGACGACATTCAAGAAATGTTTCTGGAGTCATCGGTGCCTGATCTACGCCAGCTAGAGCTGCTGCTAGAGATATTCTTTGTGTATTGTAGCACAGGACAGTCGCAGATCTGCGGGAACGAGGTTATCAATCAAAACAAATGGGGAGGCACAAGTGCTCCCAGAAAACAAACCGTTTCGGCAGTTCACTGCTTGGAATGTAAGCGAACACAACAAAACAATACACGAGGACACTCTTTCGAATGAAGAGCTTTGGGTCGCAATTTTATCGCGATGTTTCCATAATGTGTGGCTTCGCGGGCGCAACAAAAGGTGGGTTTTTCTTTTGTCTGCCTTGTTCTTTCGCGTTCAGCAAAAGACTAAGTTTGGTGCGACATGATTATGAGTGCGAACAGTGCAACCAACAAGACGATACAAAAGAGGGCACGCTGAACTTATAACAATCGCTTTCTTTGGAATTCCTCCAATTTTTATACATTTGCGCACTGTTGCAACGACCATGTGCGGAACACAGTGGAGATATTTTTCTTTTTAAAAATGACTGTGATACTAGCCCATCTGTCACCGTCACTGGTAGAAAAAAGATGGACTCAGGTTTGTCCACGGAATGAATTCTTTCAACATCACTTTGTTCCATGCATGGCTTTGCAACCGTGTATAAAAAGCTAAGGCATTCCAAAGAAAGAAATAGCTTCAAGTTCAGCGCTGCGTTCTCTCTTCTGTTGGTTTCGCTGATTCGCACTCGTAATTTTTCGCGTTCGTTTAACTTGCGCTAAGGCACACACAGCGACTATAGTACACTACGTGTGCCACAGCAATCGTGCTTCGCCTTCGTGTCACACCAATCGCACTTAGTGGGAGGCCCATAAATTAATAACGAATCATTGCGACCTAACACGTGGGAAATCGAGTTAGGTTAATACCAGATGTTACTGCTCCAATGCTACACCGCGTGCGTCTCATTAACGTTTCCTGTTGGAAATGGCGGTGACTTCCTGGTATAGTTACTCGAGTAACATGAAACCACGATCTGTTTGGGAAAGGAGTAAAAAGGGGTGCCACTCACGAATGTAGGCTGCCGATGTCACTTGCACCACTGCGACGAGCAGCAAGAGCGCGACGAGGCAAGAAGCGGTGTCCCGGCGGCACGACGGCCGATGCTGCTGCATAATACCATCAGTGGTCCGCACATCGGGGGCCGCTAACGCCCGCGCATCGGCTGGCTGGCCGAACAACACGCCGACACAACAGCAGGCTGTTCACTAGCGGGCCGAAGCAGCACGCTCGTGCCTGCAAGAGGGCGTGCTTGGCCGCTCCACTCCTGGCGCAGTCGATAACGGCGCCAACGAGGGAATCGTTGCTGCGGTTCTACGGCTGGCCGCTACACGGCGCAGCTAGCGACAAGAGTGGTGGCGCATCGAGCGCCTTGGTTGGGGCCAGGTGGCTTAGCGTGCGTTGTGAAGCAGCACCCGCAGATTTTCAACACCAAGCGGTCGTTCATTGCATGGGTTTCACCGAGGCGAGTGGATGCAGAGGTTTTCAGTTCGGACGAGAAGTATTCTTGCGCGGAACGAGGACTGCCCCGCTGCGGTGGTTTAGTGGCTAAGGTACTCGGCTACTGACCCGCTGGTCGCGGGATCGAATCCCGGCTGCGGTTGCATTTTTGATGGAGGCGAAAATGCTGTAGGCCCGTGTGCTGAGATTTCGGGTGCACGTTAAGGAACCCCAAGTGGTCGAAATTTCCGGAGCCCTCCACTACGGCGTCTTCTCATAATCATATGGTGGTTTTGGGACGTTAAAGCCCACTCATTTATCAAATCACTCAAGGCTTTAAACGTTTAGAGAGGGTGATTGACAAAAAATGAGGACCGTCCTTGTATATCATCGTGTCGTATGTAAAGCCGCAAATACACGATTCCACAATAGACTGATCTTGCACGTTTGTTTCATGCTTTTGTTTCGTCGTGTGTGTGCGGGCGTGTTTCAAGTAGCAGAGCAAAGAAATGGCTCCGAAAGAGACACCAGGCACTCAAGCCTTAAACAGATGTACTTAATCGGAACAGGATACCTGTTACAAATGTAGCGGGATATTTAGGGTGAACAGCTAGGGGAAGTGCCTCAGACTGGCTGGCCGACGTTTCGGAAGGAGGACATATATCTTTTTCAAAGGGGCCGTGTCATCCTTGGCGTGTTAGCTCCAAAGGGGTTAGTGGTGACGTCATGTTCGCCCTGATTATTTCACTACGTTGTTTCCATCTGTCGGCTCCCATCTAGATTCTGTTAAAAAATGATGTAACAAACGTGTATGCGAAACAATCACCAAGTGCGGCGTGCCAAGTGTTCATCTGGGATAGTTTATCGCATCCCCGTATCTTCTGCGATGATTTATATCAGCGAAATTGGGCGATTCATCAATGATACCTTTCGATCACGATCAAAAACTGTAAAAAAAAAAGCTTTATGGGAAGCACGCACATTCAGTTGCGCACGCCAGTAAGTGCTTCAGCTGAGCGACTCGGTTTAAAGGGACGGTATTCAAACGTATCAGCTTAAAAGTTTATAAAAAAATTGGTGACATGTGCTTCAGCGTCTCTTCTCTTGCTTGATCCAGAGTTTAATCTTCTGGGTGAGGCTGCAGGTTTGCGAATGGACAGATAGTCCGGAGATTCCGCTTTGTTCTCTTACAGCTTTCAATGGCTAAGAAAGTGAAAAAGACAACCACTTGTTTGTGTACGATGCACATAAGGAATCTGTACGGATTTCTCGTCACGATACCAAATGAATTTCGCCCTCGTGCTACCAATTGTTAGCTTCGTCGTTACCTCAAGTGGTAGAGTGACCGCCCTGGAAAGGCGCCGATTCTGGATTCGAAGCCCGGACCAGGACGAATTTTTCGGCAACTAAGACGCTTTCGTTTCTGAGAATTTTGTGCCAATTTTCTTGTGGCTTCGTTCTACAAACGGGTGGTTGTCTATTTTACCTTTCTTAACCATTGCACCGCCTTGCGGGTTTCTACAGAACTCACTTGCATAAGCTTTCGATGACTGTTTCTTGCACTCTGTTTTGTTCACTTAGTGCCAACCCTCTTCTCCCGCCCCCCCCCCCCTTATTTTCTTTTCTACACGTCATTTGCATGTACTAAGGATGAGCGTTGGGCTCACGTGTGCCGCATAATTTCAATGTTTCATGGCGCAGGCAACAAAGACGAACAAAGAGGAGACACAAAAAACGCTGAACTTACAACTGGATTTCATTTTCCTGACAGCAATGTATACACTATTGTCCGCCTCGGTGCAGCAGTGGCTTGGGCGCTCGGCTGCTGACCCGAAGGTCGCGGGTTCGAACCCAGCCACGGTGGTCGATGGAGGTGAAATTGTAGAGGCCCGTGTATCAGTGTACGTTAGACGCCATATGGTCAAAAATACCGCAGCCCCTCCACTTCGACGTCCCTCATACTCATACCGTGGTTATTATTATTATTATTATTATTATTATTATTATTATTATTATTATTTGTAGTAGTGTATTATTATTATTTGTAGTATTATTATTTGTGTAGTATTATTATTATTTGTAGTTTGTATTATATACGTCCTTCTCACGAGAAAAGGAAAAAGAACGACCAGGCGAGCTGTACTAAGATGCATAATGGCGTAAAAATATCGCAAAAAAAAAAACGCCCGCGTATTGGCTGGCTAGGGCCATTATGTATTAGTACCAACTAGTTCGCCTCTCCGTTTTGCGATACAAAAAAAATGCAGTCAAGGAAATAGCAACCAATCATCGATATCACATATGCTTTGGCGATAAGAAAGTCGCTTTCCTTGCTCAAAAGAGCAAGCGAAACTATACGTATACCGATGCACGTTTTATCACTTTCAAGATTTCCATATCGTATCACTCACTTTTTTTTTTCTTGCGAGCACACGTGCGTGATTGAAAATAGACTGGCACCCACAATCCCGACCATGAATCATCAACATCATCATGCCATCATGCCCATCAACATGCCCATCAGCATGCCCGTCAACATGCAATCATGCCCATCAACATCAATAGCCCTATCCACATTGTGCCTGCGTTCTTTAAGACGTTCACTGAGGCGCCTTGCTGTCTGACCGATATATTTACTGTGACAAAAGGACTACACACCTTATTCACGTGGGACAAACGTATCTTTATGCTTGGCGGTGCACACTTTTGGGGGTCTTGCGTCAGAATTCTTGTAGCTATATACCATTCTTCACTTCGGCATTTATGAGATTGGTATTTCGTCCATTACACTCATTTGTTATTTTGTGTGGCCCTTTGTTCTTGCAATTGCTGTCTATTAAACTAGAAACTGACTCGCCCAGAAATGGGTATTGTTTAGCTTCTTTTAATCAGAGTAAAATTCGGCTGAAAACTAACTACGCAGAGGTGACTTCTTGCGAACTCACTTAAACGGGTACTCAGCTTTGCTTGGCAACCTGCGAGAAAACGTTTACTCGTTAAGAACACATCAGGAATCATGTATTGCTACCCTACAAACATTGTAAAAACAAATTTCGGCAAATGGAATTCACATTTCCCGCTTGAAAAAAGAAAATTATGGCAGCTTGCACTATATAGAGGCGCAAGGCTGCGTCACGGCGGAGCTGGTGGTTTTTTATCGCTATCCCACCCTCGCTCAATCTCATTTAAGCTTGAGTAACCTAATAGTTAGGCCATATGAAACTCAAATATTTCGGATTGTCTTGGCTGGAGCCACAGAACTTAGTTTTTATTAGCACCCATTATTACATTTATTTGAGCTTGAGTAACGTAATAGTTAGGCCATATGAAACTCGAATATTTCGGATTGTCTTGGCTGGAGCCACATAACTTAGTCTTTATTAGCACCCATTATTACATTTATTTGAAATTGAACATTTGTCATTTGATGCCATAAATGATTAAAATAGTGCACAAGTAAGTTCTCTCACAAGGGGCACAAAGGCCGCCGGTATAGACTTCCTTGGCCGAATGTTGTCAAAACACAGGGCGTGCAATATGGATTCTTTCTTGCGGCGCCGTCTCAACGAAACACGTAACATGCATTACGGCAGTGCGTACCCGTAAATGTTGTACGTGAACAGACGCATATTTCTGTTGAGTCCAGTTACTGTTTCGAGGTCAGCCTCCGCCAGCTCAAAGTCGAACACCTGCAACACAAATGGGTTCGCTATTATATAAGGTCACGTCCCCGTGGCCTTTGAGAGAAGACAAGACAAGACAGATGTGTGTCCCGCTTTGGTGCCTGGCTTCGTACCATCTTAGCACTGCGTTCGCTTATAGAGAGATACGTAGATGCAGCCGACTCGAGACGAAGCCACGATTGGCGCAAATATTGTAGTATCAGTTACTGTATTTGTTTGTGCTGCAAACTTTCTGCTATTTCTTGTGGAGCCATTCAATACTCGTGTTTTGAACACCACGCTTAACGACTCGTGCCGAAAAGTAGCTCAGTCCGACGAACAAGAAAAGCGTAAAAGGGTCCCTATTTATTCTGTGGATGAATATCCCTAAACCTGTTGCCTGTGCACGCGTATGAATTAGAGTAAATGGAAAGGAGCTTCGGCCTTGGTCAATGCTCTTTTTTTCTTCACTGAAATAAGCTTGACTTCATAAAAATTGGAATAGATCAGGGAACGATTTTTACAGATAATGTTTGTAATGAACATTCAATGAGAATTCACGAGGCGATGAGAATTTAGAATTGTGTGATGATTTGTGGATATAATTGCACTGCGGGACTGTAAATAATACTGTCGATTATATGGGAATTTCACCAATGTATACAGATGCAGATGAGCAATGTTTATTCACACACGTCTTGCTGAATTTGTGGTAGAAAGATTTGTTAAAAACTACAATCGCATATTGAACGGCACCATACGGCCTGACTTATAAGAGGTTCACCACAAAAAAATCTCTCGCGACGGTATCTTCGTCTACCGAGTCTTGATCCACCCGTATTCAGAGCCAGAGTTTCAGCTTACAGAAACTATCCGCAATTGTGGTGAAGAGCGACATCGGTTGCATAAAGGCCCACTGCCCGATTTTCTGACTAAGAATACGCCAATATATACTTGTTGGATGGTGGTAAAACTTAATTTCCGGTAGTATTGCATGAGCAAAATAGTTACTTCAGTTTCGATAACAATTTAAATGTTGCTTCCAGATGGTTGCGTACGCACGAGATCTACGAAATCTCCTAGCTTATGCCGCCTTTCCAAGGAAGCATTTAAAAAGATTGACGACCCGAGTACAAGCTACAAAATTTATAATCAATTACATTGAGTTTTAGAGCCAAGATGATTCGGCTGTACGGGAAAAAAATTAGTCCCATCTGGCAGCGCTTTCACTGGGACCTGCTATGGACCACTAACCGATAGTTAGTAATGGGCACCAGTTGCCGACTGGCTCAATGAAAGTTCCAGCTGAGAAGTGTGGCAGCTTGGGCTAGTTGGTATGGCATGACGATATAGTTATAGTGCGAGAACAAAACGACGACACAGAGACAAGAAGGACACGAAAGACACGAGCGCTCGTGTCTTTCGTGTCCTTTTTGTCTCTGTGTCGTCGTTTTGTTCTCGCACTATAACTGTCGTCATTCAAGCTGAGACCCAATGGCAACTGGAAATAACTGGGACCAGGTGAAGTGGTTTATGGCAGGATTTCCCGTGGTGACCAAATTCCCGGTGTATGCACGGGACCCGTTGCAAGTATAGGTCCCAGTCGGTACTGTTACAAGCGTGCTGGTGTCCCTCGCACGGACACAGGGTGCGTCCGCCATAGAAGCCGGACGCTTCCCTCAGAGATACGCGCGTCACAGCGGAGCTGCGCCCTCCTCCTCGGGCGTCTCGGCGCTCATAAAAGGCCGGCGCATGTGGCGCCGGCTGCTCCCTCGTCCACATGTTTTGTACACAGTCTGTAAATTAAACTCTTGTTTCCTACTGACTGCCCTTTGCCTTGCCACTGCCTGGATGACCCCTGCCCAGTCCGTTGAGCCCACGACACGCTACCGAAGTGAGCCATGGGTCATCCCGTAACAGTACACATTAGCAGCTGGGCCCCCGGTGAATTGGACTATAGACCACTAATTAGCTGCCAGTCTTAACCACTTAACTGTCAGTTCACATTATTATTGCATCTAACAAAGAAAACGAGCCCTTAAATTTACCCTTTATTCCATCGGACTCATAGCGAGGGTCTCGTTCTGGCAGACTTGATGCCTTCAGGTGGTATGCGAGAAATTATTGGTCAGCAAGCTGCCAGTCCATAATAAGATCACGTGCTACGTGACGCCAACAAGCAAATAATGAGTGTCCCACACTCACCTCAATGGCAACATGCGGCGCTTACTGACGTTCCCACGTTAAAATGTACAACGATACCCCATATGTGGACGGGGAGATAGCCGCTGTGATAACTCAGTTGGTAGAGCATCGGAAACGTTATCACAAGGTCGCAGCTTCGGTCCCTGCCCACGTCAAGTTATCTTTTCGTCCACTTTTCATTCTTCACAATTGCATTACAATTACTTTTGATAACATTCCCTATACTGTCTGTCAGCTCGCATAATCAATTGTTCCCAGTTTTTTCCAACATTTGCAATACTTTCGTCCAGGTACCGTAAATGCTGCCCAACAAAATACCACTAAGAACACGAGTCGACATCTCCGGAGCTTGGGAGGCCGTCCTTGAATAGTAAATTTTTCGTATGGCGTCATATTGACTGTTGTCCCTATCAGCACGCCTAGCATTGCTGTTAATTTAATCAGTCATTAAATAACACGTACTCTCCACCGAGCGCTAGTTGCAAGGTCTCGTACATCTGCATTTGTTCTTGTACAACATTTGAACTCCAGTGAGCACTGCAAGACGTGAATATTCACTTTTGCTCTGACCGTAAGTGGGTCGCGAAGCACACTTATGGCGACACTTTCCAACGCTCCCTCTTATCAAGGAAAGCATGGGATGCGATATTTGCAAATTGAAGCGCCGTAGTTATGAAATAAAAAGAAAAAAATTAAGTGGTAAAGAAAAAAACAACTCACCGCCGCAGGGTACCAAAACAAAACCTTCATGAGCGAGTTGAAAGCAGATGTCTTCCGAATACAGCTATGGCATCATCCATACAAGGCATCAGCTGTCGCCATCATTCCGTGTTTCCTTTCTATTACATAGTTGCCTTCAGTTTTATTTAACTTGGAGAGGATAAAACAAGGACCGAAGCGCGATGAGGTGTACTTACCTGGATGTTTTCTCGGATGTGATCGGGGCAGGTGGCCCGGGGTAAGGCCACGATACCACGCTGTACTAGCCACCGGATCAGGATCTGCGGCGATAACAACGCCTGTATACGGTATTACAGGGTGGCCGAGCACGTTAACTGGGCCGTATATTATTGCAGGCCGCGGGCCCTTCCCCCAGCTCGGTGGTTTCGAGGCCAGTCATAGTGGCAAGTATATTTTTACGTCTACGTTTGCACGTGCGTGTGATAACTATTGTATACTACGATTCAGTTGGATGTTTTTTACCTCATGGTGCGATCATTACACGGTTCTAGTAACTTTGGGGGATCATCATTTTAACTAACTTTGGAGTGACTGCTATTGACAATGATAATTTAACCGCTGCAATCAGTCTTAATATGTTTCAAAATGTGTGGCCACCGATTTAGTCCCAAAAAGCACTACAGTCCCATTTTTATCAGTTTTGGCTTAGAGTGCGCAAGCCATTGTTGCACAAAATACAGCAGTATTTACGAGGACGCGACCCAAAGTGCTGAATTGGCCGAGGGTCCATGGCGTATGTCAAGACATCTCGTTTCGCACAGCCTCCATGCCACCTGAGCGGCCGCTACCGCGCTTCTGCTGTCCCTAAAGACAAGATATTGAAAAAATCTAAACAATATCTTCTGTTTACAGCGGTAATAATATACACGAAAAAAAAAAAAAGCTCAGAAAAGATGCAAAGTCGCGGGCATTCACGTAACTTGCTAACGAATAATGTCGTGTCGTCCTAATTAACAAATGAAAACATGAGGTTAGTTCACCTTGAAGATCAGCGCGTTATTCGCAGTTTTTTTTTTTTTTTAGAGACAGTAGTCTTTCTTGGGATGCTTCAACACAGAAATTTTGGTCTGTCTGCCACACAATTCACGTATTCAGCCACCCCAACAAATTTGCCGAGTCATCTTGATGCGGTGGCTGCTTTCATACTTGTGAACATTGTCGATCAAAAAGCAAATATTACGCATATCTGAGGCGCAAAATCAATACGTAAGCATTAGGTTGTATGTTCCTTTACAATAAAATACATAAATAGAGAGAGATAAAGATGCAAGGAAAGGCAGGGAGGGCAAAGAAAATACATAGGTATACGTAATTCTAAAGGCCCTAAGTGTTTCACACGCTGCGCTGACAATGCGACGCTATGCAGGAAGAAAGCGGGTGCTTCCTACGCTTCGCTAAGACGATGCGGTGCTGCCACCTACCAGCGGCTCTGCGTTCTACACAAGCTATTTCCCGACGTTACTGCCAGATGGCGTCCACGTCTCACGCAGCACCTCCAGACAGAAGACTATCGTCTTCGCAGCGAAGCACACAGATAAGCGGTCGATTTTTCGTATACTGTGTTGGTTGACAAGCCAATAGTTATATTTTAATTTAGCTGAAACATACGAACTACACATATTCCTTTTTTGGGATATTTAGCTGCGGCTAAGGCAATGTCTCGTAGCAAGACGCTTCGATCTTACCCAGCTGTGCTGGCGTCTTCTTGTAGATCTCTGCAATTTTCTTAATCACGGCGTCTTGAAGGAGGTCGGAATGGCTGTGGTATTCGTGAGGCCTGCGACAACGCGAAAGCATAGTTTCCCAAGCCGTGTTAGCAATTATTAGATTCATTACAAATTCCTCTATCTACAGACAGCATGGCACTGATCTGGACTACACCAGTAGATGCCAACAGTGTGGCGAAGCTTCATCAGATGCGTTTACCCTGTTCCCCATGCCGCCTCTGTCGTTCACAGGCCCAGAAGCACGTGAACATGTGCAGGCAGTGTGTACTGCCAGAAACCACTAGATGTCGACAGAAACTGCCAAGAGAGCTGGGCATCAAAATACAATATCTTACTCACGCTTAACTATATACACCAGATGCTCAAGCCGAGAAATAGGGCGTACAGTTCCTGTGACAATCTTACGAAATTTCCCCAGTGCACCATCGGCTCCGTGAGAATGACATGAAGCATAGCTACCCTCGCCGGTGTCACGCTCCGGGAGCTGGACATTGCAGAGGATACCCTGACGTCGCACTGTCACTGCACAACAACGTATAGGAATGGTTCGAATTAAGGTATCGTTTTCATTGGTGTGCTATGCACCAGCATAAATGTCTGCAAGCTGCCAATGTGTAGCCGACGTGCGTGGTGTGCTCGCATCACACACTATCGCCCTGACGTCAGTGCACCCAAAAAGAAAGCCAATTAATGAGCAGCCATTGTCAGGTTATTACTATCGATTCCCATGGTGGATGTAATCTGTCGGAATTTACCCGGCACCTACTGTCGCGGATCGAGATACCGTAAGCTCGATCCCTGCAGCAAAAATTTTTTTTCTTCAGTATCCGTTAGTGTACATTTTAGCAACGCCACATCAGTGACGGAAGTTACATCAGCGATGTCTTGGTGTACTCCGAAAAAAAAAAAAACGCTTTTGTCTTTAAAAAGTCTTTCCTCAACTCACTTGGAAACTGCTCTACTTCCGACGGGGCTACCCAGTGGCGCATATGCTGTGAGGCGGATACTATTCTCCTTGCAGAACTGCAGCAGCTCGTCCTGGTTGAGGTACGCGTGGCACTCGACCTGCATGTTACTCACCATGAAAGAAGAATAGAAGCAGGCCCCGTACTTTTCTTCAACTACCAAGCAACATCTTTAGTTTCTGCAGAAGGTCGCTGCGATTACATTATGCCAATATCACAGCGCTGCATGCCGCGCAGACCCCGGCTCTTGTGTGCATGACGGGTCCTTTTTGCCCACGCAGTGATGTACCTATGGCAGCATTACGTAGCACCGACGTCGTCGATTAATTCTCTGCACTACAGCGCATTGCCCACGCGGATACGCGGTTTTGGCCACGCAGTCCGCGTTTTCATTTTTATAAACGGACCTCTCATTGTGCCGGGTAATGTGAACAGTAATTATCATCAACATGAACCGGTACGCACTCGCTTCGTGCTTTTCAACTTCTTGTTCGCTCCCTTAACACGTGCGCCGATTTGTACGGTGCGGAGTACAAAAACTGTGACGGGCGAGTCAAGATCACTTAACAAACAACTTGTCAAGTAATATATAGGGGTTAGTCAAATTACGTAACATCGCATAATTAGTCAAGTGCCATGACTAGCAATAGCACGCTACACTCAAGAGACGAAAATTCCGTAATGTCACTTAACTAGTCACGTGACTAGAATTACGTATCACGTCACTGCTCGCCTGACTAAATACATAAACCGTTTTCGGTCTTGACAGTACATTGCCTGCCTTCCCAGAACTACAGATTAGTTACGCTGGAGTTGTCAATCTCCTACTGAACATCGACACAAATAAAAGTGCCGGCGCTGATAACATCTTTAACACATTTTTAAAACGTTACGCTGAATGGAATGCGAGGTATTTAACAGTCATTTTTCAGAGATCCCTTGAAACAGGAATTGTACCGCAGATTTGGAAAAATGCAAAAGTTGTTCCGGTGTTCAAATCTGGCGACAAACAAGTAATTCCAAACTATCGACCTATTTCATTAATCTGCACCAGCTGTAAAATTCTTGAACACATTATTCACAAACATGTAGTCACATATTTAACTGAAAACAACCTCCTCTCCCAAAATCAACATGGCTTTCGTGCAGGATTTTCAACAGTCACGCAGTTGCTGGGGTTTACGCATGACATCGCTTCGACTTTAAACGATCGCGGTCAAGTGGACGCCATTTTTATTGACTTCTCGAAAGCGTTTGACACTGTTTGCCACAATAAACTCCTCCTCAAATTAAAAGCCTTTCTGCGCGGCACTCACGGCATTCGCTTGTTATCTTGGCTTTCAGATTACCTAAATTTAAGGCAGCCGTTTGTCGCGTTTAACAATTCGCATTCGTCATCCCTCCCTGTCACATCAGGTGTGCCGCAGGGCTCGGTCCTTGGGCCTCTTCTTTTCCTAATTTATCTCAACGATGTTGTCGAAATAACAAAAAATACAAAGGTCAAACTCCGTCTATACGCCGACGACTGTGTCCTCTATTCTTGTATTAGTACCTCCCGTGACCAAATACAGTTAAATAATGTTTTTTCTTCTTTCCGTACCTGGAGCTCAACGTGGCAAATGGCACTAAACCTTAACAAAACGGTTAGCATGACATTCACAAACAAGAAGGAACCCCTACGTTTTTCCTATGGCCAGAACATGAAGCATGTCAACGAATACAAGTATCTTGGCGTAACATTCTCACCGAACTTAAAATGGCATAAACATATAAACCTAATCTGCTCGAAAGCGCTCCGAAAATTGGGCTTCTTGAAGCGAACGTTAAAAGATGCAACTCACGAATGCAAACTAACAGCATACAAATTCCTGATACGGCCTGTTCTTGAATACGCCTCCGTTGTCTGGTCACCTCACTGCGCATGCGACATAGCACACTTGGAAGGTGTTCAAAAAAAAAAGCAATAAGATTCATATATCACCGTTATGATCACAATTTTTCGCCTTCGTCACACGCTGTACGTCTATCACTCAAATCACTTGAACACAGACGTACTTGCGAGCGTATCGGCACTTTACATAAAATCGTGAACAAGATAATCACCATTGACATGCCCTTTTCCTTTGCCAACTCCGTTGCAAACACTCGCAGGTCTAACCCCATCAACATCACACCCTTCATGCCATTTCTAGATTGTTTTAAGTTTTCATTTTTTTCCTTTCACAGTGGAATTGTGGAATAATCTGGATGTTTCTCTCCGAAAGTTGCCTACCAATAGTTTTTTTAATGAACTACCAAACCATGTGTTTTGTTAGTTTAGTGTGTATTCACTGTTATGGACCCACTCCTGCAATGTCTCGAACTGTGAGACAGCAGTATTTGTAAATAAATAAAATAAATAAATATACGGTGCATGACATCGACGCCGACGGCGAAATTCAGCCGAGAGTGTTCATATAATTGCTATCGCAATAATATCACGTAACACCACTGTTCTGTCCAGACGTCCACACGCAACGTTGTTTCCGGGCGAGCCCCGAACGCCCCGTATGTGCAGGCGTCCGTTTGACAACTTCTCCCCCTCTCCGCCGCTAAGCAAGTCTCGACTCGCTTCCCACGGAGTTCGGCCAGGTGTTCTGTGGTTCGGCTGCCACCTCCGGTTGAGGATAAACACGTTTTTACCTGTCAAGACAGTCTATGCTTTTTTTGGACCACCGTGCCCCGCGCGTACGTCCATGGGACAACGACAACTACGGTCATGTCAATCACGCACCACCTGGTCACGTGACTAAAAATCGTGTAAAACTTAGTCACGTCTCTAAAATCACGCAACATCGCGAAGTAGCTACCCACGTGACATGTTTCCGCCGTAACCCACGCATTGAGTGTGTACGTTCTTACTGTGTCCTGGTCCTTTCTGCACTTACCAGTTTTACCTTGACGTATGAACCAACTCGCCCAGCTACAAAGTTTATTCAAACACAACAGCTAGTCACGAGACATATTGCCGGCAAATACCACATAGCAGTTAATCACTCGACTAATGTGACGACACCACACAACGGGTAATCATATTACATGTCTCGCTAAATCTAGCCATGCATGGTAACATTGGTAAAAAAATTAGCATCACATAGCTAAACTTAGCAAACTTAGCTTGGTCAAACCATATAGCTCGGCTGATGGTTCCAGAGAAAGAGAGAGGTTAATGAACGAGAAATAAATAAAAACGACACTGTTTTCTGCCTCCCGTTGCGGGGCCAACGCTCAGCGCCTTTAGGGATGAAAAGGGGGAAGTAAACATGATAGGAAGTAGAGAATAGAGAATGAAAAAGCTGAAAGTCGTGGCGAGAGAAAAAGCCTTGTCAGTGCACGAAGCGAAAGCGTTCGTCTATGAGGCGGTGAGCTCCGCAGAAGCACTCGAGGAAGGCTCGGAGGGCTTGCGCCTTCGAGCACGCGGGAAAAAAAGGATGTCTTCAACCGTTGCCACGGACAGACCGAGCAGGCGACAATGGCTCACCATCACGCAACGTTCTTCGAGGAAAGGAAAAGACGCAGTTTCTGCCACCCTATAGTGGGATACACCACAGCCACTAGTGCAAGCTGCCCACTTTTGCGCTGCCGTTTTGTTGGACCCGAGAATAGCGAGCGTTATCGCCAAGACGAAAGCAAATCAGGAGGTGTCTCGCAGCTTCACCACTAGGGGAAAGGCGCATGCGCCGTTCATATTTGTTTACCTCAGCGCGCCGCTCTGACACGACAGATGCTTGAGCGCCGATGCATGAATTAACGCTGACGACGCGTTACGTTGCCGAAGCAGGCATGATTGATTGATATGTGGGGCTTAACGTCCCCAAACCAGCATATGATTATGAGAGACGCCGTAGTGGAGGGCTCCGGAAACTTCGACCACCTGGGGTTCTTTAGCGTACACCTCAATCTAAGCACATGGGCCTACAACCCGAAGCGGGCATGGTCAGGACAAAATGCTACGCCTACTCCGCTTCCGGAAATGGTGGCAATGCTGAGAGAATCTAAAAACAGCAAAGACGTATACCATATAACTGCAACGTTACTGCACGTATTCGCAAAATTCTTGAGGAAGCATGTGTTTATATCGTACAAGTGCGCAACTTGTTTCTCACTCAGAAATTTCGGATCGCGCGGTTATTTAACTGGCCTTTTAATTGCAGTAAGATGGCACTGAAACGCAGAACAGCAACTGTTGGCGTCGGTACAGAATGTCCAAGATGAGCTATCAACAGTCCCAAATTTCTGCGTGAGAAGTTAATTTATAGATAGCCTACAACGTTTGCCTTGCGAAGCTTGGAGCACTGCAGCGTGTGAAGAGGCTCACCTGCAGAGCGGCCGGCTTTATCGTTGCCATTGCGAGAATCCGGGTCACCTGTTCCTTGTTGAAGTTGCAGAGGCCGATTGAACGAGTCATTCCCATGTTGGCCGCCTCTTCCATGCCCTGTCAAGAGCAACAGCATGTCAAGGGATTTGATTATTAATTCGTTCAACTTTGTTCACTCGTGGTAGCTTGGTAGATGAGCATGTTGCATCTGACGAGAGTGAAATGCTAGACCACCCGTGCACTTGGGTGTTGGTTGAAGAAGCCCGGTCAAAGTTGATCCCCGACGTGCCTCATCATCGTATCCTGGAGTAATTATATCTATCATCCGTGAAAGATGCTCGGGATGTTGGTATATGGCGATGAGGTCCATCCACAAGCAAGGGCCGATTCTCTTACGCGGGAAAGAGTGCTGTACACACCTACTTAATTGGAGTACGTCTTGTCTTTGATATGTATATATACGAAGCAGAGATAACGTAAATATTGAATGTGATAAATGCAGCTGTTTTACTGCATAGCACCCCTGTAGGATCATGTGTGGTTGGCCAACTGTGCCCTCTTCTTGGTATGTTACCTCCCTCCCCCTTTTTCTTTGTCTTTTCATTTCATTAAGCTCAATTAGATAAGCTTCATCTGTGTAGTTCGTTTTTATTTTTTCGTGTTCCCAACTTCGCAGCGCTGCCTTTCTCTAGGTACTATATAGAGCGATTTACCCTCCACGTGTCGAGAATGTCGGTCTCGTCGACCGCAGGCAGCGTCGCCGACTCGTCCTCCGACACCGGACTCTCGGGAGACGCATCGGAGGCCACCGGGCGGTGGCGGTGCTTCTTCTTGAATGCGCGCTCGTACACCGGGAAGTGGATCAGGAACAAGTCGACGAACGGCAGCTGCAGCTTCCGCAGCGACGAGCGTAGGTACTTGTGAACCTTGTCGCGTCGGTTTCCCTCGCACGGAAGCTTCGAATCAGCAAGGTTTTCAGACATCCGTTAGGAATATATCCGCATTATAAGATTTACTTGCGCTGGCTGTGCGGGGACACACAGTATTCCTTTGCTGAGATTACCGCACTTTTGAAAATAAATACCATAAATATATGAAGATTACAGCTACGGAATTAGGAGAGATGCTGAACAAGTTAAAACAGTTTGTCGGTTCATTGAAGAAGCTATAGAAGAACATACTTGAGCGAGTTGGTAATTTATAATCAATAAAGAGAGCGAGAAATATGCACCTGGCCTGTGGCTTTTGGTGTGATCCCGGGCAAGCTCAATAGCGTAACTGTATAGCGTGTTATACGTATTTTTTCACGATTCCACGGCGCATGCACCCTTGCCTTACCATAAAGGCTGCACAACGCATCTTTATATCAGAACCTTTAGCCCTGGCCCTCACCACAACCCTACCAAAACGCGGATGGCGGCGCACGAAAAGGATAAAGGCATGGAATCGGTCAACATACACACTCAGTCTGTATATTAACTCTATCGATGAAGGCGGATTCCGCTATAGTGCGAGGCGTTAAGGGGTTTGACGCGACTCGGGTACGTGGTGGTACCTCGTGGCGCCCGCTGTAACTATGCAGCACACGTACACGAATGGTCAAATCAGCCAATGGCTGAGTCTCTCCCCTTACAATGTAACAGGGCCAGACTGCAATCATGGATTTTGCCGAGAGAAGAGTAAGCGATACCTGTCTCTGGAACGCAAATTTCTGGTTTAGTTACATGGGCTTCTGGGTACCATCTGGCACAGGTGGGAGGAGTCACCCAATGTGGCGGTGCAAAGTCTGCCTCTTACATTTAAATAATAGGGAGGGGGGCGCTGCGACGAACTCTAGCCTTCTCTGAAGGGGATACCAACGCACACCTATGCTAATTGGATTATTTGCACTCCGGGAGGTATAAACAGACGCGTGTAGCGACAGTAATAGCTTCAGTGCATACGACGCGTGGCACTCAGTAAACAAGCCGTACCTTGGTGACGATGAACAGTTCCTCGCGGCTGACCTTCCCTGCTGCGATGACGCGGCGCAGGGCGTTGCCGATGGCCGCCTCGTTGTGGGCCGCGTGCGACGTGTCGATTAACCGGTAGCCGGCACTCACCGCCGACTCAACGACTTTCTCGACCATCGCCGAATCACCCTGTAGGCACCATCGTGGGATACGGCTTAACGAACGTGATAACGGCGGATGATGGGCATATAAAAACGCCAGAAGGATACCATCGAGTCCGGTGCTAAACAGGTGTCAGGTCGCCACTTGAAGACAGCTGGGTCATTCCATATAAAACAAATCTTCTCAGACAAGCTTCCAGGACAACACATGCGGATTGCGCCAAGAAAGGCCAGCAACACTCAAATGCATGTTGTGCTAGTGTAACGTATTTATCTAAATTATGGCATCTTGGTACATTGTTGCGATGGCAACATGATATATAGCTAGAAAAATGGCCTGCTAGGGCAGGAAATAAATGTGTCAGTGTGCGGTCTGTTTTCAAATAAAGGGCTTGATAGTTTGTCTTCGACGGCACGTGTCGATTCACCTTCTTTATTTCTGCTAGTTTTTTTTTCTTTTTTTTTCCAGTTCCAGATGCGTGTTTATAGACGCTCTGCAGCAAAACAACAAATAAAAGCAACAGCTTGTTTTGTCCACATCTTGTCTCGTGTTCATAGTCTCTGAAGTACAATAAACTACCAAACGCCCTCCCTGCTCAAATAGCGACAGTTACTTCCGAGAACCTGTCGTCGAGTTCAATGGTCTACTGCCGTTATTAGCCACTGCAATACGATGGCAAATGCCAGTTATGCGGGGAAAAGAGGATCTGAAACATGTGTCTCGACGCGGCCAGTGGTGGATCGAGAAGGGGGGGGGGGGGGAGGATTTTCCGTCATTGAGAAAAGCCTGTGTCGGCAGGCACCCACCTCCCTCCCTTCAGTCCCTGCCCTTCTTTCCTATCACCTATTAAGATAAATGAGTGGGGCCACTGTGAGCACAAACAGTATTTCTGCTGTGATGGGGTTATTGTGATGACAGAAACTACTAAAACAAAAGAGCTAGTCCCCACACCTGCCCATGCTTGCTTTTACTTCAAGCTTTGCACGCAAAACGTAAAAATTCGGCGAATTAAGAATATTTTGCAGAACTAAATTAGAAACCGTATTTATTTTCAACACGCATGACACAAACTTACAATAAAACATAAGTTACCAGCGCCGTTAGGTCGTTGTGTATGAAGACATTTCACCTGCTCTTGTGAATGCAGTAACAGGCATACCTTGCAGATAGCGATGCCGACGAGGGGCATCCAGACGCCGTTGTTCATGAGCACGCAGTGGCGTCGACAGCGGGCCGCTCGTGACGGCCCGCTTGCGCACTGGCTGTCGTCCTCGGACGGTGATTGAACGCTCATGTTAGCTGCACACACAGCGATCCGCTGGCGTCGCGGATGACGCCTATTGCTTCTTGATGTTGTTTTATCATCATGGCACATACCCACCACTGACCACATAAAACGAGTAGCGATATTGGAAGAAAGGAAACGTGATAGCAATGTTTTAAAAGCGATGGTGTAGGACAAATATAGCACTCACTAGTAACGCAATTACAAATCGCGCTGTGGTTGCATCCGAACTGCCACCGCAGCAAAACCCGAAAATCACGACAAACAGCACCCAAAGAAATTTTAATAGAAATTTCGCACAAAAACGAGAAACGACGAATGCAAGACAATTATTCGGGGAACAGGACAAGTCCCCGTCAGGAATTTAGGTGAGAAGTAGCCTCTGAGTTGAAGGATGGAGCGCTACGATATTTTATGTATAAGTTCTAAGGAGTAGTGCGCGATTTGTTCCTTGTGGTTTGCTTGCTCCTTGGCTCATACCCCATTGCGCAGAGCCTCGAGTTCTGCCGTCGTTGACGTTGTGACATGTGAAGTCTTAGAACACCGAGTTACCACTTGTGATACCGGACGCCAAGCCCGGGAGTACGTGGGTTAGTGTGCCAGATGACTATTGATTGTGTCAGGTGTTATCTGAATTATTCGTGATGAGATATTGAGCCTCGTTGTCAAATTCTTTTCCGTACCAATGATGCGCTCGTTGTCTTAGGTTATCTCGTGGCCCGCCTAGATAGCTTGCACGTGACGGCATGGTGGCAGCTTAATAACGTGCTGGTTCACCAAAATGGTGGCCTTGATGACGTAGAGGCAACAATCACATAGCGCTTCAGCTGCTTCAATACGATAACGATACGGCCGGAATTCTATTGGCCTCAGACAGTGTGTCATAAAAAAAGAAATGGCAAGTGATATAACGATAACACTAGAAGGTGGTGTCGCAAGCCTTGCGTGTATGGGGTGCATCAGCATGGCGGTTTCAGTGACGTCAGTGTAAGCCGTGCTGTGCATTTGTCACTGTGGTGGTGGTATGTGGGTTTTAACGTCCCAAAACCACCATATATGATTATGAGAAACGCCGTAGTGGAGGGCTCTGGAAATTTCGACCACCTGAGGTTCCTTAACGTTCACCCAAATGTGAGCACACGGGCCTACAACATTTCCGCCTCCATCGGAAATGCGCATTCGTCACTGTGTGTTTATTGCATCAAAGTCTAAGAATAGAAGTCTGACTTTATCCAATGATATTATACCTGTTGGTTTGTGCAAACAAGCATTTCCAAACCTCAGAGCTGTTGCGCAAGCCGTATTAACTATAGTAACACTGGGAAGAAGGGGTCCGCTTAAAACAGAGAGAGAGAGAGAGAGACTAAGGAGATAGACGGGGAGGTTATGGTCCCGGTATGCTACTCTGCACTGAGGAAGGAAAAGGAAAAGTTATAGAGGAGGATATAAAAGCTGCTGACTAAACCGATGCGGGTAAGCTTAAGGACATATATTGTGGCTAATGAGTTGGTTTTCTCGGTGAATGTAAACCCGCCAGGCGCTATCCCCCCCCAACTTTTCACGTTACCGCAGAGTCCTCCGCCGCTTACTTCCCTCCCCTCCCTCCAATCCATCGGTCCACCCGTACCGCAGAGCAGTGGTAAGGCACCCTTCGTGACGGCGTCCCCGAGGTCTGCCGGGCCCACATTCTGAGGGCCTGGGCTGTCACAGAGGTTACCATAGGTGTCCTGGAATAGGGACCCTCCCCGTTTTCCTTGAATTTTCACAATAAAATGTTTTCATCAACATCGATGAATGTGAAAGAACGCGAAGCAATGCGCCGACCAAAGTGGAATTTAAAAACACGCATGCAAAAAATAAGGTTCTGGCTCCTACACCGGAGTCTTGTTCAAAGTAAAAATCATTTTTTTTATTGGTGTTTAGGGAGGTGCAAAGCCTGCCTCATAAATCTACTTAACAGGGGAGGGTAGGGGGCGTTGCAACAAAGCTTCGACCCCCCCCCCCCCCCCCGTCTCTATAGGGGAGACCAGAGCACGCCCACGGACACTGGATGAAGGAGCGCACGAATTCTTTCATCCAGCGACCGTGGCACGCCTGTGATTCCGACCAGATGGCTTTTCGTGAAACTAATCAACTTCGGTTCACCCTGTCATTCAGGTATATCCTGAGGTGGCCAACTAAGTTTTTGGCGTGTTAGCTGGTAAATTTTCGTAACATAGGCACGAGTGTTAATTTTTTTTGCTGCAGAGAATGCAGTGCGTATATGTGCGAAGTAGTGAATTTGAGGGCTTCAAATTAGGGTGCCTCGACATATTTCAAATGACATCCTGTTGCCATCTTTCGGTAAACAGCAAAGAGATAGGAGGGTAGCCTGGCAGCCAGTAAGGGAGCCAGTCTATATTAATTGGAAACATGTGCCGTCACTTATCAATCCTTGCCTCTCCTGCTTTCACTGCCTACTTCAAGGATTTCGAAGGTATTGTGGACACCTTGCTCAAATGCTTCCTTGATTAGTCCTCGCCGATACCCAAATAGCACAAAAACAATATAAAATTGCTACGGAGCGGTGCGAAACGAACGTCTATAATATATATGTCGGGAAGCACAGTGCGAAATGATGATGCATCGCTTGCGAAACATTGGCGTGGTTTGTGCTTGCGCTTACTCGATCTTCTAGCACCAATAATAGCAGCCTTGACACCGATGGTCTAATCCACACTTCATTGGTGTTCGTTTTGAGATTGCGTCTGTAATATCGTTGCTTTTGCGCCAAAGCTTGTGCACATTTCTTCTGCTTCCTTCAGCGTTAGGTTCTTTTCCCGAAGCAATTTTTCACGTGGTTCTGCGTCGTTAGTGCTGAACTAGTCTCTCATCACTCACAAAGTTGCACTTCTCCGCCTAAGAAAATTTTCAAACTGCTGCCTTCTATGCTTGGTCTCTCAAGCGAAACAAGTATCGTCTACGTGAACTTTATTTCCCACCTCGGAGGCTTCAAACTTTCGCACGACGGTCCCGTAGTCTTCCAGGCTTTTTCCATTCACGAAATCGAAGGCTTTGAACGCGTCAATGGCGCTGAGCACGATGGCGGTTTTCGACGATTTGATCTGTGTTGGAATGTTCTTTCAACGCATAATCATATCATCTGCGATTTGTCGTCCCGAAACGCGACCTTCGGGTCAGCAACCGAGCCCGTTGGCCACTGATGCACCGTTGCGGACGCTATTTCGACGCAGTCACAAACAAGTGACGCTTACGCTTAATTGAAAAGTTCTTAGTTTGAAGCTAGGTTAACCGACAGCTGCATGCATCGATTCTGGCGGACATTATTTCCATCGACTCCTTCACTGGCGGCACGGCTGCAGCCGCTTCTGACACCATGTATCGTGCTGATAAAAAGCAGAGTGCAGGGCGAGAATGAACAACGTTTGATGGCATTCAGTCGTATTTGTACCTTGGTGAATATACAGCCGCGGTCACGTCTGTGAATAGCGCGAGAGCAGCCAGTCCTTGCTCTGAGGCGCGACAGGCAGTTTCGCGCTCTCAAGTGGTCAGCTTCACGTGGTCGGGCTCTGACATCAAGATGCCGCTCCGCACACTAAATTTTGGTTCCTGAAAGTGTGAGCCTAGGTTTTACAGTGTATCGATCCATGGAAAGAGTAATGATACCTTCGCCCGTGAAATTATAAAACCATACAACATTAAGAAAAAATAGAGATATATGTGTGCTAGTGACAGATAAGCCTGTTGCTTTGCTGGTGGTGAATTTAGTTTCCTCAAATCTTTTTTCATTCAGTGGCTTTTTTATCATCTATTTTTTGTCAATCTTATCGTGTTTTTTGAAAAAAAAAATGATGCCCTTTCTGTTTTGTCCTCAATTTTCTTGTTCGATGGTACGCGTCCTTTTTTTTTATTTCAGTAAAAACCGGCTGCTCAAACATTCCACAGACGTGGCCGCGGCTGTAAATTGCGAACGTGCGAGCCGTATCGGCTGTATTGTCAGCCCACTGCCACCCCGCCACGGACAGACTTACCTGATAACCTGCGTGGACAGATTTACGCGCTGGGCGGAGGCCACCCCTATCGCGGACATAACCGCCGAGACGGCCGCGAGTGTTTTCCTGTACCACGGGGCACGTCCACGCACTGGGTTGTTGTTGAGCGATTCTAGAAAGAGGGAGAAGGCACCTAATTTCTATCAGCCCCTTGGGCGACACGGCGCAATGCCAACGCACTGGGTAGCCCGCTTCGAGGTGCCCTCCACCAGGGGCATGGGCAGAATTTTTTCTCAGGTGGGGGAGGGGGAAGAGGGCACCACTATGATCCGAAGTTACGTTTTAAAAATGCCAAGTTTGATGCGAAGTTCGTTAAATATGGCCAGGCAGATGTGCTTGAGTGTCATTAGAAAAATATTCGGGGGTGGGGGGGGGGGTGGCACTCCCTCTGGCTATGACACAGCCCTCTACGACAATAACGGGCTGTGGCCGACAGCTCGAATCCACCCTTTTCACTGTTATCAGACAGCTCATGGAAACTTCGCGCATTAAGTACGACAGCGTACCAACACATGAACAATGGAATTCTCGCCGTCAGCTGAAGGCCGCACTCACAGCAACTGAGGAACACAACTGAGAGGAAGCCCTCCCGCTCGAGCTTTCGAGAAGGCTCACTTTAAAAGATTGCAGGGGCCGCTGAGTTGTACGGCTGACAAGAAGTATCCGTAACTTAAAACAGGAGTCTCAAACACGCGGGCCTCATGCGGCCTGCGAACGTTTCAGGAACTGCCCGCGGCTTCACAAGGAATAAACTTTCGTGACATTGCTAAATAATATTGCATTAGTTTCTCGCATATTGCGATTGATAACCCTTTATTCTGGTGACTGGGCTGGTCTCAAGGACCAGCCCCGTCTCAAGGGATGTTTTCCTGCGGCATCCCAGGCTGTCACCATATACCAAAAAAACTTTCCAGAATTTTATTCGCCATGCAAATCGGTGTCGATATCGTTCTCAAAACCTACGTTCGCATGGAAGAAGGCATTGTTTCAAATGGTAACATTATTGCATGCGACATTTTGCTCAAGTCTGCTGGCCTACCCCTCCCTCCCCCCTCCTCGCCGCTTCGACTTTCTTCACTGTCCCGGCCCTCGTAGGAATACGTTTCGGCACTGTGGCCCGCTAGTTGAGGTGAGTTTGGTAGCTCCCCCAGGCAAATGCCATATAATGCCTCCACCACCACAGTGGCTAGCAATCTCCATCAACACTTAGGCACTCAGCTAAACCCTAGTCAGCAAGAAGCCTTTCTCCACATGAGCACCGAGACAGACGGCCACCTCGATGCCGCACGAGAGCCATGCCACACGACAGCCAGCATGTAGACTGTGCGAAGTCACGGTGCGGTCGTCTCGAACACTGGCTCATCAATGGCAGCCTGCACAGCTCCTGCGCTGCAGAAGGTGTGCCACCTACCAGCACACGCAAGCTCGACCACAGCAGACGTTGCAAGCTTCCATCTGGCTGTGGATCTGCTCACGGAGGTTCTGCCACGTGCCTCAGTGGTGCTCTACTGCAACTCACAGTCGCAGCTTGCAACAACCTCAGCGTGCTAGCATGGGCATAGCCCTTCTGTCAACCAGGCCGGCTGCAATCCAGGATGCAGACTGCACCTGTGCTCCTGCAGCACTTTGACCACCTACATGCTAAGAGTGCGCCATTTTAGTGCAAACGACACCAGCACTTCTTCCAGCATAGCAGTCACGGCTGGGAACTTCCCAAGGCGTCATTTGTGGGGCCACCTATTGGCACACCACTCAGATCAGCGGGTAGCCCAAAGTGGTGGTGGTGAAAACTTGTTTATTTTTTAAACATTTTCTGCGGAAAAGCTCGGAGTAGTCTGAGGTTCTTGGCTTGCGGTGGGAGGAGGGGGGGACTTAGTTTGGGGCATGGCTTGATTTATTGTGGGGTTCCACGACCCAAAACCACCTTATGATTATGAGAGACACCGTAGTGGAGGGCTCTGGAAGTTTCGACCACTTGGGGTTTAACGTGCACGGGTTGAAGCAGCCACTCTGCGGGCCTGGTTGATCAGACTCAGTTAAACTTCCAGCATCTCGCTGGCCAGCAGCTCTTCCCATAGCTGTGCTCTGAGATTCTCTATTGGTGCTAAGGCTATAATGGCCTGACATTCCCACATGATGTCGTACAGGGTGGATTTAGCTGAACACCATGGGCAGAGAGGAGAGTATGCCGAGGGATGCATTTTACTCCGGGTGGGCAAATTTGGAAACGTGCCGGTTTCGGAAACCTGCCGGTTTCGGAAATTCGGAAACGTACAGATTCCTCTAACTACAGAGGACTTGGGCAAGCTCATTTCCTACCACACTGAACTATAAATAAAGGGGAATCAGTAGCCCAGGGCATGCCTCCACAGCCCCGGGCCACAGCAACGCTTAACCCGAAGGAAATCCTCCCTCCTCCTGCACTTACAGATTGGTTGCAAGTGGACAGAGGACCGACTCTACCAGCTCGGCTTGGCGCCATCCATAGCCTGTACATTTCGTGGCTAGCCAGAGTCTCTCGTGTACCTGCTGTTCTACGCCCGCCTGCCCATCAAGAGACAGCCTGCTTAACTGCCAGTGGTTTATCGTGGCCCCTGCTTCTTAGTCACCCAGGCGCATTACTGTCCCTCTATCTCCCAATACTCTTTTCTACCACATTTTGTCCCCTCTCCCCTCGTCCAGCACGCAATAGAACAGGAAACTTCAAATGCTTCAGTAAAGTAGATGCTTAGTACAGTAGATGCAACACATGAGGACATGGAAGGCCAAGGAACATCATGCAATACGCATCACATGAATACATCCAACGGTCGCAAGCGTGAGTCGTCTGTTGCGCGGGAACATCAAAAATGGCACCCGCCCTCGTCCACCGCTGCGCCACATGACTCAAACGACTATGGGCCTGATCTTTCTGCCGACTTTCATGAAGGTGGTAGTAGAGTGCGGTAGAGTGAGTAGGGAAAGCGTCTGCTGCACTCGGTGGCGAAAACGATCAAGCGCGCTATCTGTCGCCGTGCCTGCGCTCCCGCTGCGCCAAAAGCGCTCACCTGTTGCTTTGCTTAGCGTGCTTGCCCAGCGCAAGGAGCTTCGACAACGGCGACGAAGGGTGCAAGCCTAAGGAGCTTCGCTCCTAAAAATTTCATGACGTGTGCCACCACGGTAAAATTTAATCAAAGTGTGCGAAAGCAAAATTTGGCCAGGAAAATTGGAGAGAATTCTGAAAATACACAAGGCAACAGCGTATTTTTCGGGTGTGATGTATGATGCTTAGCTTTCCTAAACTACATACATTTAAGCAGGAGTGAAAACACCGATTTCACCTGTTCGTGAGAGGCGTTTTAATGACTGCCCCTTCGTTTTATGCATCACACAGAAAGAAAGGTTGAGATTCCAGTTTTTTTGCTCACTGACTGAAAGATGTGGATGAGCGCCAAGCACCACAATTAAAGGTAAAATGATGTGCTGGTGCAAGTGAGACGACTTGTGGCATAGCCCCGATTAGCGTTCATTCAAATTTCGCTACTTCCTCGTCACGGGTAGTTCTGGTCTGAAAAAGAGTGCAAGGGCATAGGCAGCAAGTTTTTCGGGGTGGGGGGCACCGCCTTTATCTGGAAAAGGGGCCTGGCAGACAGGTGTGGTCTAGTGTCATGTAAAAAAAAAATGGGGAGGGAGGATGGCATGGGTCCAGTGTATCACAACAACGCCTCCTCCATTTTATCAAAGGTGGTGGTGGTGATTAGAAGAAGGCAGCGCCTTATACTTGCAGCCCGGTAGGGAGCACGGTGCAGCACCTACAATGCCAGCCAGATGCGCAATCCAGCCGTTCCCCACCTTCAGCCATAACCCTTTCCTGTTCTCACCCATTGCCTAGTATTCGCGTGTGCATTGTGGTCAAGGGGAAGAAATTGCTTCATGCAGTGTCTCGCGACGAAAATCATAAGAAGTCATTTTTTTTTGTTCAGTTGTGCACAGATCTGCACAGTGGCATTTTGCATTCCTTGTGTTCACAATATTGGCGGTTACGCTGACTCTATAGCGTGTCACCATTCGTGGCGTTAAGTCGGCAGCCAATGTTATGTTACTGTTACTTTTAGGTAGCATGTACAGTAATTCTAAGCCAACAGGGAAGCATCACTGCAATGCTACAGCATGCATGCGCGGCGCTGTGATGCGACAGCCGCATTGCTTCGAGCCGCAGAGAAGGAGCACGAAGGAACAAATCTTACAGACGTATGATATTAGAGTGGCAAACACGTCTATTGCATTTCTGGGGTAAAGCGCTCGGAAGCACGTGCGACGCAATCAGGGCTGCCCCTCATGTAGCGTCGCATCACGATCACTCCCTGAACTTAGGCGGACTGACGGCTCCTTTCGAGAAGCGCGCATTTGCTCAAGCATTGAAAGAAATAAAGAAGGCATTGGCCACACCCTAGCTAGGCCACAGCAGGAGTAGTGATATTTCCCGCTTGACCAGATTCTATATCACCCTTAAAATTGAATGATGAATATCTCAAACTACATTCAACTTTTTAGAGTTCTAAAAAATGTTTATGCTTTGAATTGTCATGCATAACTCTCTGTTATGCATGACAAACAAGTGCCCTCAAGCAAATGATCAAAAATCTAATAAACAATTTCTCGCAATGACTCGCAATATTGTCATTTTAGCTGGTGCAAAGTGTTTCCGTGTTGACACACGCGAAAAAGTTGGGAGCCTTAATGTCATACATAGGATTTGTATTGAAAAATTATTTTTTTTTTATTTTACTAGATTTCTAAAAAAAATTTCTTATCTGTAATTTTAAATGTAGATTTTTTTTCTTTTTTTACTTTACTTGTGAACAAGGCTCCAGTCTGGAGTGAAAACGTTTTTTCATGTGTGCATTTAAAATTTTCACCTTTGTCAGCGCAGCTACTCATGTTTTATACCTTCGACATGCATCATTCCAACCAGACGGGCTTTCATAGAACACAAAGCACCCTGTATTACTTAAAATACATTACTAAAAACATCCAAGTATTTGACAATGTTCAACAGTGAATACTTATTGGACACTTGTCTTCTGTTTCCTTTGCATCACACAGCATGAAACATGACGAGCAACTACATTAAAAAAAAAGTACTTGTACAGGCCATGTCAATCCCAGTCAAGAACAATAATAAAACAAGACACCGGGAGCATTTACTATTTCAAGCAATGTCACACCATTAGAAGACTGGAATGGCCACAGTTTGGACACTGGGTGGGAACTGGGCAGGCAACCATTTCAAGTAAGTCCTTTCCCCTTCATGGTGCGGTACTCTGGAATGCTTCCTCTTACAGTGCTTCGACAAATCCATTTTGGAGCCAGCAGGTCTTTCTTGCATCCAGGAAATGCTTTTCACTTTGGCTTCAGCTTTTTCCCAAACTGAAAAAACACAAAACAAATAGAACACTTTCAGAGGAGAACATCCTTCCCTAGGCTGTAGAGCTGTTATTCAGAGCTAGAATTTCGTAAACAGAAACTGCTGAAAACTAGCAACTTTGATGAAATAAAGGGCGCAATGTTTAGAAATCGACAACTCTGTAACAAAAAAAAACACAATAAATGTCGATTTCCTGAGTTACTTTGCAATACAGAGTGCTTAAAACTCCAGTGATTTTTTAAGGTCAATGGATCTCAATGAAATTCACCGGGTCTGTTCATCTGCACGTTTGCACCATTCATGCCAAATTGCAGGCTTGGAAGTTTCGCAAATTCTTTTCAAATAATTTTTATAGTTTGTCTCAAAATGCCCCCCTCGCTTGCCAGAATTAATGGCAACATTGTGTGTGTGACGTTGATTTTTGCGAAGTGGAAGTGAGGAAACTGATGTGCCACTGCAGCGTCTGCTTGTCTGCTGTGGGTTGAATGTGTTTGGATGGCGCTTCCTTGGTTGAGCGTGCAATTTCCTTTTCCGTGTTGGTGGGCGTGCGATGGGTGGCATGTGGTGTTGCGTTATGAGCCGCACAGAATTCGTCATATAATCACCATAACAGCACAAATGTTTTAGCCGATTGCCTTCGAGATGGCGAGCGCACAATGTGTTTCTCTCCAGCCATCCCAATCACTGCACTTCCCAGCAAAACGAATAAGTATCGTCTCGCCTGCCTGGCTACCTCTAGGGGGCGCAGATCCCGCAGTGGCGGAGGTTGCGGCAGAGAGCAGCAGAGTGCACGAGATTCCAGAGTGCATTAGGGTTTTTTTCTTTTTTTTGCATACGAGCGAGAATCACTGCCAAAATCTTCTGGCTGCACTGAAGACAAGTTTCTTTTTTCTTTTACTGCGTTTACATTGGCCCAATTTACAAAGAAAGGTGTAGCAACTGCCGAATTTTCCTGATATTGTCAGCAGATAGAAATTTGTTTGTGGCAGTATTCCTTTTTTTCCACTACAGTGCATTTCATAAATACTTCGATTTGAGGAATATAGAAGAATTCTAGCATTCCTCATTTCTGAAGGCATGCATTGGGCAAAACTGGGCTAATTTTCGAAATCGAATCCCATTGCCCTCCTATTGTGACACACCATTTTAGTATTTTATCACATATGAATATTTATGCCATGGTCAACTGAAGCACAGTTACGCTCTGAATAAGTGAGTGTCCTGGTCATATCGCTTGACATGTCGCCTTAGAAGACGACATTAACGAAGTGCGCGCGGGGCACTGGCGCTGTGGCACGAGCGCGAGCCTGGCGTCGAACGCTGGCCAGGAGTGACTCCAACGCCTGGGCTGCGCTTTTGAACTTGTTCACGTTTCCTGTCCTTTAATAAATCGTCTACAGTCACAAGCGGCTGTACAGACGTAACAGTTTGGCGACGAGGATGGGATACGAACCCATCCCATCCTCGTCGCAAACTGTTACGTCTGTACAGCCGCTTGTGACTGTAGACGATTTATTAAAGGACAGGAAACGTGAACAAGTTCAAAAGCGTAGCCCAGGCGTTGGAGTCACTCCTGGCCAGCGTTCGACGCCAGGCTCGCGCTCGTGCCACAGCGCCAGTGCCCCGCGCGCACTTCGTTAATGTCGTCTTCTAAGGCGACATGTCACTCCCTCCGTCTGATATTCAATGGTTGTTTAGACGTCGCTGGAGTAAGAAAGCCCGCATTCTGTGATAAACTACCGGCGTATATGTGACTATTTCTGCAAACTTAGACGGCTGGTCAAGTAAACTATTCAGTGTGGTCAAGTATTTATGTGGTGTCGCGTTCATTAAATTGCAAACATCTTAAAAAAAAAAAAAAAAAAAAAAAAAAACTGTTACGTCTGTACAGCCGCTTGTGACTGTAGACGATTTATTAAAGGACAGGAAACGTGAACAAGTTCAAAAGCGCAGCCCAGGCGTTGGAGTCACTCCTGGCCAGCGTTCGACGCCAGGCTCGCGCTCGTGCCACAGCGCCAGTGCCCCGCGCGCACTTCGTTAATGTCGTCTTCTAAGGCGACATGTCACTCTTCCTCCCTTAGACGAAGTCTCCATAGCGGTCTGGAGGTCGCCTAACCTCTGGTGGTCGCAGTTGCCGAGTGGCCACTGCCTGTGACGTCGACGGTTGCGAGGGAGTGTGATCTTGCATCTCGGGCGATTCAGGCGGTTGAGCAGCTGAGCTCGATGGCGTCTCTTCTGGCGTTGCGTCCAAGAGATCGTCAGCTGCGCTCCAATCTGTCCGCGATTGGGTTGTTTGTCTGGTCTGACTCGTTTTCCTCATGTGATTGAGGTGACGCCGAACCTTTCCTTGGTCGCTTTTTACAAGCCAGGATCGTGGTCCGACGCGGCGCAGTATTTCGCCTTCAATCCAATCTGGCTTTTTCAAAAACTGCCGGATAAGCACTCTATCCCCTATAGCGAAGCGGCGTGATTTTTGCAATGCCTCCTGGCTCTCAGGACTTCGCTTATCCGTCTCCCGCTTAAGAAGATCGAGAGGGCAGAGCAATTCTCGTCCGAACATCGCTCTCGCCGGTGTCATACCTGTGGTAGTGTGTATTGTCGTGTGCTGCCGATACAGAAATCTTGCAAGTCGGCACTGTATGGACTTGTCTGCATCTTTCAACAGCGCTCTTTTCAGCTCCGCCACATAGCGTTCTGCCTGGCCGTTTGTTGCCGGATGATATGCTGGTGAGGTTGCAGCCTGTATGCCGTTCGACGCATAGAACTGCTTGATCTCGTTGGAGATGAATGCTTTTCCGTTGTCGGAGATGACCTTTCGGGGAATGCCGAACGTTGCAAAGAGGCTTCGGAGCACGTCGATTACAGCCGCGGATGTTGCTTGTGTCACGTGCCGGACTTCCACCCACTTTGTGTATGCGTCCACAACAACTAAGTAGGTGCGTCCGAGTAGTGGCCCCGCGAAGTCAACGTGCACCGTGTTCCATGCTGTCTGGGGACGGTCCCACGTAGGAATAGGAGCTTTGGGTGGGCTCTTTTGCGTTGCTTGGCATTCACGGCACTGTCGCACCGTTTCCTCGATCACCTTGTCCATTCCGGGCCACCATACGTAGCTCCTTGCGCACTTCTTCATGGCTACCATGCCTCTGTGACCCGCATGCAGAAGTGCCAGAACACGGGATCGTGCTGAGCTCGGTATGATCACTCGGGATCCAAGTGTGATGCACTCGCGCTGTAGTGCTAGTGCGGTCGCTCGTCGTCGGTAAGGAGCAAACTCATCTCCAGTGAGTTTCTCCACTGTACCATCCTGCACTGCCTTGTACAACCTCTGCATGATGCTGTCTTGTTGTGTCAGGCGTGCTATCTCGGCAGCAGTCAACGGAGGTCTCGATAACGCTTCGAACAATAGTACGTCACCTGGAGGCCAGGGTTCATCGAGACGTTCTTGTAATGGCAAACGGCTCAACGCATCCGCGTTTTGATGGTTCTTGCCACGCCTGTAGATTATGCTGTAGTCATACGCCGATAACTTGATGCACCATCTGGTCATCCGTGGAGAAAGGACTTGAGCCGTTGGCTTTTGTGGACCCAGTATGCCGAGCAGTGGTTGGTGGTCAGTGACGAAAGTCACCTTTCTTCCCGCAATATACTTGTGGAACTTGTGGGCTGCAAACACCACAGCAAGGCCTTCTCTGTCCAATTGAGCATATTTGCGTTCTGCCGGCCCTAGCGTCCGAGATGCAAAAGCGATTGGCGCCTCTCTATTCTGGTCATCACGTTGAGACAGAACAGCTCCTATGCCATATGGTGAAGCATCACAAGAGACAAGAAGCTCCTTCTGTTCGTCGTAGTGTGCCAGTACGGTCTGACTGAGCAGCAATGCCTTAAGCTTGTCAAAGGCTTCTTGATGCTTTGTCTCCCATCTCCACGTGGCGTCCTTCTGAAGAAGCTGGTATAGGCAGCTGGCAACTGTTGCCCTGTTCTTCAAGAATCTGTCGTAGAAAGCCAGCATTCCGAGAAATGATTGAAGCGCTTGTTTGCAGTTTGGTGCTGGAGCGTCCGTTATGGCTCGAACTTTCTCTTCGTTTGTGTGGACGCCTGTCTCGTCGATTCGGTGTCCCAGAAAGAAGACTTGTCGCACCGCAAAGCAGCACTTGTTTTTTCCGAGGCGCAGATTGTAGTTTCGTAGCCTCTTCAGCACTTCTTCCAGTCTCTCGGCGTGTTCCGTGGCGTCTTTCCCACTGATGATCACGTCATCTAGGTATGCGCACACGCCTGTGATGCCTGACAGCATTGTCTCCATAAAACGTTGAAAAATGGCTGGGGCTGCAGAAATTCCGAAAGGCAACCTCTTGACCCTGTATAGTCCCTTCAGCGTGTTCAGGGTCAATATCTCTGCTGTCTCTGGCGTCACGTGAAGTTGCTGGTACGCTTGTGCTAAATCCAGGGTGCTGAAGACCTTGCCTCCCCTCAAGTGGCTGAGCACTTCATCAGTTGAGGGAAGTGGGTAGTCTGCCTTCTTTGATACCTGGTTCACTGTGCAACGGTAGTCGCCGCATATTCGCAACGAGCCATTCTTCTTTCGAACCAGTACGAGAGGCGTTGCCCAATCCGAATGCTGTGCTGGCTCGATTATGCCTTGACTTTGCAGTCGATCCAATTCTGCTTCTACAGCTGACCGGAGCGCGAAAGGAACCGGCCGTGCTTTTAGGAACTTTGGTTTCGCTCCTTCCACGAGGTCTAGTTGTACCGCTGGACCGATGTGTCCTGATATGTCCTCGTCGAATACAGATTGGTACTTGTCGAGAAGCTTCGAAACAAGTTCATCGCCGGATACATCATTGATGCCCGTGATCTGTATACCCAGGTGAGGAAACCAGTTTCGTCCAAGGAGGTTACAACCTGCTCCCTTGATGACAACAAGTGGTAGTGTCATGGTTTTGTTTCCGTGCGTAACAATCACCGTTGCACATCCGAGAACTCGAAGAGACTGTCCTGACCATGT